GAGATACCTGACGAGAAGGGAGGGTAGGAGAAGGATGGGACGAGATACCTGACGAGAAGGGAGGGTAGGAGAAGGAGGGGACGAGATACCTGACGAGAAGGAAGGGTAGGAGAAGGAGGGGACGAGACACCTGACGAGAAGGGAGGGTAGGAGAAGGAGGGGACGAGATACCTGACGAGAAGGGAGGGTAGGAGAAGGAGGGGACGAGATACCAGTGACTGTGTGTTTTATTCTGTTGTGCAAACTCCAGAAAACGTGTTTCTCCGAAAGCTATTCAAATAATACAAAAAAGGCTGATCGCCTCTGAAGAAAAGGAAAACCATGATGCTTGTTCCGATCTACATCACGCTTCTCATGCTCACAACCCCAGTGAATCCCGCAGGAGGAGGATAACTGCGGAAGAGCTTCAAACACAAGTCGACCATCCCTCACCTCGCCAACTCACGCAAACCCGTTCTCCCCATCGAACTCGCAGTCCACCACTGCGCCGTCTGTGACATGTACCGCCGGGAAGACCTGAAGACATTGCTCATGGGATAGAGACTGGCAGACGAGAGCTGTTGTCACCTCTCCCCGAATGCTAGTGATTGTTAGCTCCTCTAAAACTTCACCTGCATGACATTCAGGGGCTAACAAGAAACATCTCTGACAAACGCATCTTCCTTCCTCTAACGATGCCCGCGACTCACCATTATGGTAAAATCGCAAAGCAGTGGGGAATATGCTCTGGTCATAGGTGACTCCGATGACGTCTCCTTCACCGTATTCAAGTTGCACTGAGCAGGAGCAGGAGCATGTGAGGAGCAGGTGGCAAGAAGCAACGAGGGTACCAGAGCTCAGACACCATCCTTCTCCTTCCACGTTCAGCTCGTCCGAAGCTGGAAAACCAAGTGAGCAAGGAAGCAAGCAGCAGGCATCGCACGAGTTCATCGGATCGATGAGGGTGATAGCTCGCGGGCAAGAGAGGGAGAGGAACAGGCAAAGACAAGGAGAGGAGGGAAGGAGGAGAGAAAACAGTCATGAAGCGACAAAACATTGGTCTCTCAGCTCTTCCCCATCAACTCACAGTGAACGCTCTGCTTACAAACGCCGACACCCCATCGGCCTTCCGCTTTCGCTACCGGCAACATCAGAGTATGCAAGAGGGCATTTCCTTTGCTGTACCGATCTTGACCTCGAAGTATGCTTTATCCTGCATGGCCCTCAGTCGAAGTTCCTTTCTTCCGCTCATAGTGAACGAACCTGTGATATTGACTCTGACGCGAGCGCAACGCCGCTGCCGGAAACCCTCAGGTCGTCGAAGTGAATGTCAGGGCCGTGAAAGCCGATCGTGACAGGAGTTTCTCTGCACGATACAAGTCAGCTCGTGAAAGGCAAACATAAAATCTCGAGCAAGGGATAGCAAGACATGAAATGAAAGATCACGGAGAAATCCATGTTTACTTCTTGATGTCGGATATATCTCCCGTATCCTTGGACATGCAGGCCGAGAGGCCGTGGATTCCTCCCTCCACTACTGTTTGAGCTTTTCCTACTGCTGACTTGACGGTCTTGCCAGCATTATTCCCCATCTGAGCAAGAAACCAGTCAAATCACGCCGACTGTGATGACCTTCGGAGCGGTGGCGACGCATCCATTTCACATGTCAACATGTTCAACAATCTCGTCTCTCTGCCTCGAGAGACAGCAGCCTTGTAGGTTGCTTCCTCTGTGCATAAGAATCTCTCTCTTTCTCTCTCGCTGACTTTCCCCGCCAGCATTCCTTGTTTTTGACGATTCTCTCTTCTTTCCCTGCCCCTGCCCTGATCTGCATGCTCCGCCTACCTCTCGCGATCTCTTCCTCTCTACATTCCTCTCTTCGTCTTCGCCCATGTCTCTGCCCATCATCCTCCCCTTTCTGCTCGCCCAGTAACCCTTCTCTGCGCCTCAACC